AAGAGAGAACAGGAGGGTTTAGTCGAAACTCATTGATTCACTATTCATTCGACCCCCTAATGTTTATTAGGTTCTAATAACATTTACAAAGACTAAACTGCCCTTACTTAAGTGTGGGGCAGAGTATCTCTAATAAAACTGCCACATAAGCAAGGTACTTAACAAACATGAGATGACTAAACTACCCCTATTCGGCTCACTTTAACACTATCATTTCCTATAGATGCTTCCTGTGGACATCCAGTTCAGAGTATTTTAGAAGTGTCTCCATTTCTGACCTTCAAAGGAATGCCGTAAACTTCCTTCATTCTAAACATATATACTCCACCACTCCCTGCAACTTCAGAGATGCTGAGGAAGGGGAGACAACCTTGTATTTTGATGGAAGTGCCTTCGGTAATCCAGGTGCAGCAGGAATCTGAGGTGTCTTTAGAAGAAGAGATGGCATCAATAGTTGGGTCTTTAGTGAACCTATTGGGATAGCCTCTTCAACAAAGGCTGAAGTATTGGCAGCCTTAACTGGCATCAGGATTTCAAGAGACCTGGGTTATTTGAACCTCACTATCAAAGGAGATTCTGCCAATACTATTAATTCGCTAGCTAATCCTGACAGTGGTCCTTGGGCCTCAGCTCATTACTTGGCTGAAGCAAGACATGCTCTCTCCAATTTGAATGCACATTTGGGTTGGGTCCCAAGGGAGCTAAACTCTGTATCTGATGGTCTAGCAAAGGCTGGTGTTCACAGGGATTACATTTTTAGTGATATTTTTCTTCCTGTATAACTCTTTGAGTGCTTAGTCTCTGTGTACATCTCCTCATGTACCTTTTCTATCTTTGAATAAAGTTAATTTCTTCTCAAAAAAATGAGACTATGATTTATACTCTTTCCTTGTCCCCATTAATAATTTCTGCAAGGGAGAATGGCATGAACACCATGACATACTTAGATAAGGAGGACAAGTATACACTTTGGGGTGTATCAACAAATTTATATCTCCTCCCCATAAGAAAATTGTGTAAAGCCAACAAAGCTACATTATAGCATGTTGTCCAGCCACCTGGGAGTTCTTATATTTTGTTCTTATTATGTTAATTTGGGTAGGTTGTCTAACAAAAAAAAATTAGTATGAAAGGTGTTAACTAGAAGAAGCCTAATCTCGACAGTAGAGTTTTCTGTAACAATCAATGAGTATGAAGTAAGCAACCTAGCTAGAATTTAGGAGATTTGAAATTTCAACAATATAAGTTTGTAAGGCAATAAAGCGGACCAGTTATATTACTTTTTCAATATAACTTCATCCAAATGGGAAAAGACCACAATCAATGACAAAGAGATGTTGCAGAAAAAAGAAATATGATTACATGAAGCATATACTCGAGGGCCTTTTCTGCGAGGAACAAAATTTGCAACTTTTGAACTGAGGACAACTCTTGATCCTCCTATGAAACTCCATTCACTGTGCAGCATGTTTCCCATTCTTTCTACCTGTTGACCAAAAAGTCCAGTACTCATACCTCTAAGAGTAACCATGGATCTTTGTTCCATTTGAAGAGTAGAACGAGGTTGCTTTATCTTCCAAAACCAATTAGCCTACAACAGATAACTCTATACCATTATAAAATCACATAGACACACCAGACTCATAACTTATCTATTAATGCTCTGCTGTAATATAGTATGATCCAGATGATAGAAAGTCAAACAAGAGAAATTAAAAGAAACTACAAAAGAAAAAATGAAGAAATACAAAGCTGAGAGAAGAGGAGAAGAAGAGATTGATGATCATGGCACTGAGACCTGTGTATATCATGTTTAGTATATCATAATATGATGATACATATGCAATGTCTATCTTAGTTAATATTTTATATACCCATTGGAATAAAAGACTGCTCTGAATCATCGCAATTATCATTTACACAAATCTGTCCCAAGAAAAAAAAAGCCTAAAACATAAACTAGATACCATCAAATTCTATAAGCGTGAAGAAACAATGCCTAGCAAGAAAATATGAGCAATTCAGTTGAGGATGCCAAGATGGACGAATGGCAACAGTAGGAATAATAGAATTAGAAAGAACACATATGGGAAGACTTAGAAGTAGTCCCGATAAGTAATCAGATGAAGGGAGAGAATGCAGGATGCCTCTTGACAGAGAGAAAAAGGCAGGATTACGTTCTTGTAGGTTGTATCCAACCAAAAAAGTTGGGATAAGGCTCTGTTGACTTGAGTTCCATGACGTACTAAACACCTAATCAAATTCTCGTGAAAGAGAAGCAGAAAAAGATAACCTCAAATACACAAGAGATAAGATTTGTAGCTTTGATATTTGACAAAATTACTATAAAAGGAAATTCAGGATTGCATAATTAAGCAAATTACCCATGTTAACATTTATCAAAACTTTAGCCAAAACTGCAATGCATTGAAACCAACAAGATGGAAAATGTGCATAACAAAAGAAATATAACATGTAAAAAGCAAGTCATTAAGGGATTTAGATAAAAAAGAAAGAAAGCAGATCGTTAAGGGGATGTTTGCCAACATGTATGAATTTGTTTTTTAAAACAAAAAAAAAACAACTTTGAGATTAGCAAAAAAAATGCAATTTATTTGTGTTAATTGTTTTCATTTGAAAAACAAAATTGCAAATGTTGTCAAACACCTCCTAAATCACTCCAGCATTCCAGGCACCCAATTAAGGAAGAAAGAAATCCAGATATTTCTATCAATATAACCTTTGACTCCAGGGGGGGATTGGAGGCGTTCTTTACTCTCCTGGGGGTGCAGTCTTGTGGGCTTTCTGCTGCCCAATTGGCCTTTCAGATGCTATGAAAGCTGAAGTCTTAGCAGTTGTTGCCGGTCTCTGATTAGCTAAGAGATTGGGTTTATTCTCTGTTGAGGTTCTAACAAACCCAGTAGGCCAGGAATTGAAATAGGTTGGCAAGTAGAGGAAAAAAGGAAAGAAAAACGCAAAGCAAAGCACACAAATAACACACAGAGATTTATGTGGTTCAGCTAATAGCCCATGTCTACGGGTTAGAGGAGAACAAATCCACTATCAGCAATGGAGATTTATAGTTAAAATGTTCACAGCCTCACAGCAAAACTCTGTCTCCCAATACACCTGAAGTTCACATTCCCCTGTCTCTCACACACTCTCATTTTCTTTCTTGACCTACAAGATACAAGATAACTTTTTGCGCAAGTCTGGATACTAGTCTAGAGATTACAAGATCACCCTTACGAATCTAGAGATCATCGATCCCTCCTGTCTACGAGTCTGGATACTAGTGTTCCCCACTTGTCTGATTGTCTCTACGACTCTCAACCGGAATTCAAGGCACCAACACAACACTCTCTTTGTTGGTGCTGGGTGACTCAGCCAATGTTATCAACTGGTTGAAATTATAGAATTGTAGACATCGGAGGTTAAATCATTTCTTGTATGAAGCTCGGAACATTGCAAGTTTGTTGCCTGCCTCTTTCGTTGGATCCCAAGAAGTTTAAACTCGGTAGCAGATAGCTTAGCTAAGGATGGGGTGTTTAAATCTGAAAAGTATAGCAATCACTTATTGCCTTGATTTTTAAGTCTCCAGAAGCTCACTAACGGTCTGGAAGTTGAAGACAAAAAAAAGAAGTAATGTAAAAGAAAAATGTTTAATGCAGTGAGTTGGGGAGGAGAAAGAATGAAAGTTTAGCAAACACCCAATTCAACTTGACAAGAAATTTAGCAAAGCAAAAGCATAAAATGTAGCTAACGAAAAAAAAAAAAGAAGTTTCGGAAAACATAACAAGTATCCAACTCCAATTGATCAGAATGAGGTGGCGCTCGGTAAGGTTCCATTGGAACATTTCTGGTGTTCAAGAAATAGAAAAATAACTACTGTTTTTCTCACCGAACAGCAGAAACGTTCCCGTTGAACATTTATCAAACCATGCCTTTATCAAATCAGCTTGCATACCGAACAGATATCGAGAAATATCAGTCAAACACCCAGGAAAAAGAAAAGAAAAGAAACCAAATCAAAACAAATATCAAAGTTCCTCCTTCCCAAACAGAAAATTGAAGGAAAGCATAGAAGCGTAGAGAATACAGAATTACAGACCTTGAGTGAGATTTGAGAATGACAAGAAAAGGCTGAAGGGGCCATCTCCTCCGGGAAATCAAGTTGCCTAACACCAGTACCAGTCTACCACCAGTGACTTCTTCTTTAATTCGTTTATTGGGATCCATTTCCCACTTATTAAAATACACAAGAAAACACAGTGAGGTGGGATTCCCTCCTGGAGAGACGGAGTACGGACACGCAGCTCGGAGAAGTTAAATGGGTAATTGGCGCACTCAGCAGGAGGCCAAATTAAACCAGACAACGTTCATGGCAACTTGCATTCCTGTGTGTTTTTTGGTCGATGAACACGTGGGTAGTCTTCACTTTTCGGTGTGCCCAGTCCGCATCCCATTCCTCCTTCGTTGACCCAAAAGCAGTAAGGCTCCACCACCATTCCGCCATTGCCACTACCCAGGACTCTGGACCTACAAACCATAATATGGGTCTCGCCTGATTGGACTTTGGAGAATGGAGAATCTCTTGTAATGCCGATCCACCAAGAAAGTCAGGCCGCCCCACAGTGCCGATTTGGGGAGGCGGGACGTGAGAGTTGCCAATGCTAGCGATCGACGATGGTCATGCTCTCGCTTCACAAATCACAATTCGCAACAGTTAATAATTTACATTGTACCTGCTGAACCATTATTGGATGAGGAGGTCCCCTCCCATAGTCCCATTCCCATGTATTATGAAAGAGTGCTTTCAAGTTTCAACCATTGGATTAGTGCGAGATTGAAGTCAAGTGAAGACAATAGAAGGTGGGAGATACATTCAGAAGATTCCTATCTGTCATCAATAGAGCCCCATCTCATCTCGTTGAATACAAAATCTTTGCCTACCTTCTTACCTAATAACTGGTGGATAGTATATACTCTGTCACCGACCCACCACCATCCATCCACAGTTCTTCCGTTGTTTTGTTTTTTTATGGTTAATCCACAGTTCCACACTAAACGCCACCTCTTTTTCCACTAGAAATGAAAAATGGATGGTGAGTGGCAGTTACCAAAAAAAAAAAAAATTGTGGGAGACAAAGTGGTGAATTGAGAACACATTTATTGGATAATTCATCCATCACCCACAAAAAAGTGAGTGAGATGCTATTTTTTATTTTTATTTATTAAATGAAAATGAAAGTGACCCAAAACAATTTATTGAAGCACGTATGTCCAGTGCTACATATTTATATTTGTACTCAAACTTAATTGTTTTTGCCGATGAATAGATTTATTCAGTTATGCAAATTATACTCATACGTCGATAAGAATTCATTGAAGCACGTATGTCCATTGGTATGCCTAAATACAGATATTAAACTGAGTTGCATAGTTGCAAAAGTCTAAATATTGATCATGGCCGCCCATTTAATGTACCAACATTAACACTGATATGTCCACAGTGTTCAACAATTTGCCACTTGAATTGGTTTCTCAACTATAAATAAGTGATATTTTGTTCTTTTTCTTGGCTGATTGCATTTTTTCATATATAAAACTGGCATTATTTAAAGGTATTTTGAATGCACATGTATCAAGTAAAGTTTAATGTTGTATAATTAAAATTAATTTTTATATATACACAAAAATCAAGACAAATATCCAATTTATATATTAGTATAAGAGTATATATGTAAGAATTAACTATATATACGATATATGATATTTGAATTTAACTTTCATGACATATATATATATTAGCAAAATGCGATATGGTGAGCCAAGTTTTGAGAATAAATGGACCATCATACGGGGACCCAGAATGGGAGCTCACTAGGTGGTGGGAAATGATGTTAGAAGAAAAGAATAGTGAACAACTTCAATGTTTTTGGGAAAAAAATAGCATAGCCTTTTATGTTTTGGCACTTATGGAAAAATAGGAATGACAAGATATTTAAACAACTGATCAGCTTCTTCTCAAGAGGCAGTGGCAAGATCTTGGGCCAGCCTCAAGGAATTTGTTGAATCCAATACCTGTCATTCAAACGACAGAGATCAAAAGCCCCCAAAGGAATTGAAATGGATCAAATGGATATGGACCCCTCAAAACCCTAAAGAAATGAAAATAATTCTTTATGCTTTTGCAAAAGATGATGGGGATGTGCCTATGGCTGCATATTAAGAAATTGGAAAGGAGAGAATTACAATTGCGGAAATATGGGCTGCTCTCAAAGCCCATAAACTTGCATCTCTCTCTCCTACAAGACTACTGCAAGACCTTGAAGTGTAAATCCTCAGCAGACATACTGTACAAGCACATTCACCGGTAAGGTTACACTGTTACGGATTGGTTGCCCAACGAAAGACAGGAAAGAGATCTTCCTCTTGCATCAAAAAAAGAAAGAAAAAAAAGGAAAATACATTACCATATGTTCTACCAAAAAAATACATCACCATATTTGTTTTGTCTGTGTGTGAATGTTATAGTTAATTGGTCATGAGAATGATAATACAGATTTATCTAGGCAGCAGATTAGGCTTGTTTAGCGGTTTAATTATATTTGTTTTTGTAATTTGTGGGGAAGGAGAACACCTTATTAGCAGCGGTGTGTTTCTACTTTTTCTTTACTCAAAAAAACAAAAGACAAAAGGATAAAATCTAAGCGTCGGTTTGGCATCGATGTCGTTGCTCTAGAAAACGGAGATACATCAGTGTTACATTGGAAAAAATGGTGCTTCAGGAAACATTAATATGTTTGGAACCGTTTTTCATAAAAAACAGTGCTCTAAGTCATGCCTTGAAAATCGAGAAAGCGTGGTTTGGAATCACGCCAAATTTGATGTTTTCTCATATTGGAGCTTGTTGCTGCCAATGAGGACATGATGTGGCAGTGACATGAACTTCCTATAATGGGTATCAATGCTAAAAATAGATATGAAGCATTGATACTGATAGTACACGATCTGGATGCTCTTAACTAGAGGGTAGCTCAAATGTCGGTTTGCTTTGCTGGCTGGTCAAACTGCAAAAGAAGAAGGCTCAGAGAACACAAGGTGGCTTACTCGGTGTGGGTAATGCTTAAGTTATAACTCTTGGTACGCGAGTTGAAAGTTTGAGTGTAAGTAAGCTAGTGAGCAATTAATCACGTGTACCTTAAGACATTGGGGTTGGAGCCCTTATATAGGTGAGCTTCCGTAGGTCTTACGAAACACCTCCGAGATCTCCAGTGCATGCTACTAAGAGTCTGTTCTGCACCAGGAGGTGAACTTCGTGCTAGCTAATCAAGCTTATCGAGACCGTCCGATCCGGGTGGGATGAGGATAGGGCTTGCAGACGTGCAGTGTGATCCCAAAGAGGTCGGAGACAGCTGGCTAGCTTCCAGAAGTAGGCCACGTGTCACCTCGACAGGTTGGCCCATCACGAGTTGCTCGGACCTCAGTCTGGGCCGAGGTGCACGAGGTACCTGAGCTGATCTAGCTCGTTGACGTGGCAGGAAATGCCGAGTCATCATCCAATCATCAAGTCACTTCCACATGTTCGGGTATTGATAGGTTGGGTCAAATTACCCCTCATCTTGTACCAAACAGAAAGTGTTGTTGTTGCTCTAGGAAATGTCCTACTTGGTAGCAACATTTCCAAACAAAAAAAAGACAGTTTTCTCAGAAAACGGTGTTTCCAACCCACACATCATAAACATCATTTTCTGATAAAATGGTATTGTATTTGTAGCGTCAATGCCAAACATATACTAAAAGGATGAAAAGGCAATTTAGATTATTTAAAGATTAAAAAATTTAAATAATTATTGTGTATTAGTTTTAACCGTATATGATATGATGCTATTAAAATATTAAGATTTAACATTTATAGGGTGCACTTAGAATACATGCTAGGAGATCTGAAAACCAAAGGGGTGAGCATTCGGTTAAAAACTGAACTGAATAAACCAAATTTAAAAAAAACCGAATTTATAAAATATAGTGAAACCAATCAAATTTAAAAAAACTGAATCGAATTATTAAAAAACCGAAACCAAAATTTTTGGTTAAAACCGAATTTTATTAATATTATACTAATACATATTATAATATATTATGTTTTACATATTAATTATATATATTATATTATGTATATAATAAATTTTGGTTAATTTAATTTTTTCGGTTAATCCAATTTCTAATCCTGAAAATCAAAACCGAAACTGAAATTTTTTAAAATCAATTAACCAAAAACAGAATCAAACAAACCGAAACCAAAAGTTTCGATTTAGTTTTTCTATTTTAACCGAACAATGCTCACCCCTAACCCATATGACTGCTTGGAAAGGTTTAGAAGAAGCTAGCTAATTTGGAGGCCTTGTCCTCCTAATACTGCTTTATTTTTTTGTTTTTTTGTTTATTTATGTTTATTTGTTAGTTATCCTTCTTAGTCTTATGATGTTATGTTGTGTGTTTGTTGCCTTAAGTGGTGTTTGACCAAATTGATCTTTGATTTCTGAAAAGGAAAAAGTCCAGATCACCAGGAAGCAAAAGATTGCATTTTTAATCGTCTAAATATAGTGAAACTATTTGGTTATATGAGAACTTTATATTTTACAATTTTACCCTTCCTAAATAGTTTGTTCAATAAAACTAAGCACTAAATATCCTTTTTTTTTCTCTTTTTAAACTAAACCAATCAATAAAAATCAAATCGAATAATACAAAGAAAAAAAATATAAACTGGTAAGTAAGGGTGTTCATGGGTTGGTTCGGTTCGATTTTAGATTATTTGGCCAACTGAACTGACCTAGTCGAGTTGAGGAGTTAGTCACCCAAAACTGATTGACCAATGATGAAAACTGATCAACTCAGATTGTATCGATTTGAATCAGTTTACAAATTATCAAATTGAAACCGACCCAACCTCTTGGGTTAGTATAAAAACTAAACCAAAACTGATCGAAATAATTAGAAAACTGACCAACTCGGGTTAGGTTGGTTAGTTTCATTGATTTGATGAACAACCCTATTAACAAGAAATAACAAAAAAGAAAAAACAATAAAAAACTAGCTTACAACACAACTATAACTGAACATCACATATTTGAAATTCAGTTTTCAAAAATTAAAGGACAAATTTCTTAAACTACCCTTATTGTTTAGTTGCATCGACTAACTCTATCCTTACTGTTTATATATTGTCTTGAAATACATCCAAGTTTTTTGACAATTGATTAAGTACTCCCCTACCACTATGGTTCCATCATAATCTGCTCTAATACAAAACGTGAAGTCAACTTTGGTACACTATCTAATTTTGATGCAACACAGCCCATTTTTGTACTTGGCATTCTCTAACCATAATCCTGATCCTGACCCAATTGAACTGGGTTTGGTTTGTGTCAAGCCCAATCCAAATTGGTTTGAAATTCCTAATGAGATTAGGAAGTTGTTTCTTTAAGGCTATAAATAAGAAAGCAGGGCAGACCTGAATGTGAATGCCTAATCAAAAACAAAACAAAAGAAAAGTTCTTACCTCAATCTAAAAACATTCACTGATAATGCAAAGACAAACAAATAAATACCTACATTTACAAAGACTTTGGTCAATTATCTATATCATGTGATAATAGGATCACAAAGAGTAAAACAGTATTCTAGCAGATTTATCATCC